TTACAGTTCTTCAAAACCCAAAGCAAGTTTTTAATAAACCATTCTCTAAACTACATAAAATAACAAAAATTATTAATGATTTTATGTTTTCTATAAGGTTTATCTGGAAACTTATAAAGCACAATGTGTAAATGAATAATATTACCTTAATTACATTATCTTATATGTGTAATTTGGATTCAATGTTCTTTTATAAGATGATGCCACACATCGCTCCTGATCAAATAACTGCCATCTTCCTGACTTCAGCTGTGCCTACTTACTAAAAATCATCACAATTGGGCCTGTTGAAAGTTATGTTCCTTCATTAAAGGAGGGGTAAGCAGGGTCATTGCAACCTCACCTGAGTATTCAGCCATTCTTCTCAGCCACCTGTACGTAATTCTGCCCTAATTGCAAATGATCTCCTACATTTGAAAAGGACTATAGTATATAATCTTGGGAAGGTAAAGGCTGCAAAGAGAGGGTTTGACTCATGAGGTTATAAAAAAAAGTCAACATCCAGTGCAAATACCCTCAGGTCACCCATACACCTCAGCAACCCCCCAGTCTTCTCTGTAAGTAAGCTTAGTGAATTCATTAGTTCCCCAGGAAAACTTTAATGTAATCAAACATTAGTTTGACACTAAAACCTTAGATGGGGGTAAGCCTTGCTTAGTATCCCCAGGCTAAGGTCATAGTTTAGTCAACTAGTTTAAGGATGTCTAGTAGAAGTTTATCTAAAAATGGGTTTTAGCCGGGCATGTTGGTGCACGCCTGTAGTCCCAGCACTTGGGAGGCAGAGGCAGGCAGATCTCTGTGAGTTCAAGGCCAGCCTGGTCTACATAGTGAGTTCCAGGACAGCTGGGACTACAGGGAGATCCTGCTTCAAAAAGACAAAAAAAAATGGATTTTACCCAAGCTTTATCTACATAACATATGATAATTAAAAGTACCAGATTGGTGTAACTAACTTTCTTGGGTGTTTAATATCCAGACTTTGGAGCTGCTATTGGTCAGAGTTCGCAAAAAGTCATCAGCACCACTTTAAGAAAGGTAGCAAGGTAAATGTTTATTATTTCAACAGACTGGGCTATCTCAGGAGTAGACACAGCCCTGAACAATAGGATTACAGAAATATTTTCAAGCAGGACATTTGTGAACCAGTCAGGTTTGTACAACATAGCAGAACTTTGAATCTATTAATCAACAACCAATCACTATACAGACAAGTGATACAGTCATATAACTTGGCAATCAACTTTGTAATTTTAAAATTAGTCAACTTCCAGGCTGGGCATGGTGGCACACGCCTTTAATCCCAGCACTCAGGAGGCAGAGGCAGGTGGATCTCTGTGAGTTCAAGGCCAGCCTGGTCTACATAGTGAGTTTCAGGACAGCTGGGGCTAAGGGAGACCCAGTCTCAAAAAGACCAAAAAAAACCCCAAATATTAGTCAACCTCCTAGCCATAACAAGTATAGTAAGAAAGCTGGAATCAGCAGTTACCGGGTGGTCAGACAGTAACAGAGTAACAAGGGTGGGCTTATACTTTGTGTCAAGGTGACCTAAAATAGCAAGTGAGTTATAGAAGTGAAAACAAGCAGCCAGATGTAGAATGTCTGAGATTAGCATGTTCCACTGGTTTGTGATTGAGCTATTTCTTAGAACTCAAGCTGTTGTCTCTTTTTAAATATTTCCCATAAGTGAAAAGAGGTTACTGTTAAAATAGCTATTCTGAGCAAGATGGAATAACTTAAGTTGCTAATATAGTTCAGGGACCTAACTAATCTGGTCAGAGGGACTTAAAGGGGCAGTTTTTGTTCCTTGCCCTCCTAAGTCAACTAAGTTCCAGGGGACTATGGAGCATCTCTCAAAATGTTCTGTAACTGTGATGAGTCACTTGTCCTCTTGTTCAGGGAGGCCATGGAGACCCCACCAGATGGACTTGAACCAGTGTCCAGTCTACTCAGAGGAGGGTCAACACAGAGGAAACATTTCCTCCATGCTTCCAAGTGAAGCCAGCTATGGTCGAGCAGGACCTTTGATTTATCTTCACATAGATGGAACTGGTAAAAGAAAGGATCCAGGGGCACCTCCCAAGCCCATGTGACCCCTGAGAAACAGATCCTCAAACAACCTTAAGAGTAAAAATGAATTGGTTTATTTGGGCCAACTGTATGGTCTTAAACACCCAAAAGGAGAGTATAACCAAAAATTAAAGTGATCAGTATTTCTTTAAGAGTTCAAAGGATTGAACTTCCCAGACATTAGGCTTAAGTCTCTAACTGCCCTCACTTCTCCACCCACAATGTTACAATCAGGGCAATACTGGTCTAGCCCCAGTGCTACTTTTCCTTTGCTGCTCCAAGATATACACCTGTATCTCCCCACCAGTCAAGGACACCTGCACTCCAGGCAGTCTCATATCTAGATTAACCCTATACACCCCAGGAGAGGTGCATAATTCTCCCTCCACAAAAAGAGAAAAAAGCAGAACAAAAAGGTCAGCTACTCTAGCAGTGCTGGTGGGAATCAGCCTGGTATCATCTCTAGCCACACAGGATTCGCAGCAGGGAGTCTGGGACACACTTTACTCTCAGCCCAACACCTCTCTCAGGAGATCCAGGACCTCAAGCAGGAACTTACTACAGCAGTGGAAGCAACAGCCCAGTCAATCCAGATCTTAGAACAGAAAGTGTCCTCCCTAGCTGAAGTGTCCTCCCTAGCCGAAGTTGCCCTCCAGAACAGGCAAGCCCTGGATCTATTAACTGCAGCAAGGAATGCTGTTATTATGTCAACCAATCAAATAAGGTTGAACACAACATAAAATGCCTCCAACAGGTGGCCAAGGATTTCTTACTTAAAACTTCCCAGTAC